CCAACTTTTGGTTGGTAACCTTTGTTGTGGTCAGTTCGCTTTCATTTAGCATTTCCGGCAATCCTAACTCTTGGTTAGTAACTTGTGTTCCGACTTTTGGTCGATGCTGATATTTCCAGCGGTCCTAACTCTTGGTTAGTAGCTTGTGTTCCGACTTTTGGTCGATGTTGATATTTCCTAGTAATCTTAACTTTTGGTTAGTAGCTTGTGTTCCGAATTTTGGTTGATGGTGATCTTTTCGTGGTGATCCTAACTTTTGGTTAGTAGTCTTGCTCCCAACTTTTTGTTGGATTTTATCCCCTGCAATCGTTATTCCAACTTTTGGCAGGTAGTCTGTCGCTTGTTGGACGTTATCCTAACTTTTGGTTGGTAATCCCCAACTTGTTCCGAAGTTCGTTGATGTTCATTCTAACTTTTGGTTGGTAGTCTTCCTTTCCTGGATTTGTTATTCCAAATCTTGGTTGGTAGGCCTTTGGTGGTGGTATGTTTATTCCAACTTTTGGTTGGTAGTCCTCCTCTTTTCCATGGTGAAGTTGTTATCCCAACTTTTGGTTGGTAATTTATGACTTGTCGGAGTAGTCATTCCAACTCTTGGTTGGTATCCTTTCAGTGGTTATTCCAACTTTTGTTTGGTATCTTTTGGCTGTTATTCCAACTCTTGGTTGGTATCTTTTGGACGTTATCCCAACTTTTGGTTGGTACCCAGGGTTGGTATTCAGGGCAGTTATCCCAACTTTTGGTTGGTACTTGTCGTTTCATCCCAATCTTGGTTGGTATTCAAGATTGTTGTCCCAACTCTTGGTTGGTACTCATTTGCTAGTCATCTCATCTTTTGGATGGTACCCGTTGGTTGCTATCTTGTGGTAGACGCATGTTCCCCGCAGGGCTGTTTGGTTAATCTTCTTTTTCATGTCCCCGGTAAAATCGTTATTCTAACTCTTGGTTGGTGCTCTCTGGTTGTTATTTCAACTCTTGATTGGTATTCTGTTGGATTTTATCCCAACTCTTGGTTGGTATCTGTTGGATTTTATCCCAACTCTTGGTTGGTATTCTGTTGGTTGTTATTTCAACTCTTAGTTGGTACCTGTTGGTTTTTATCTCAACTTTTGGTTGATATCCAGTATTCGTTATCCCAACTCTTGGTTGGTATCTTTTGGATGAAATTCTGTATCATGTTGGATTGTTATCTTCAGCGCGTCGCATCCCGACTTTTGGTTGGTATTCGCCGTTTTGCATCCTCGCAGGTCACAAATTTCTGGGTTCTTTTGGTATTCAAACTTCATGTACCTTGAATGTTTGAAAGTTGATGCTTCTCATCCCTTCAGGTCCAAGTTGTTTGAATAGGGGCAGCTGTAGCACTCCAAAATTTGCCATGTCGTTTTGATGGCAACTGGCTTTTGTTTCTTTGCATTTTGCATTTTTCGCATATCATAGCATTCGTTCTTGAGGCATGGGATCAAGACATTCATGTGGCTCAAGTTGCATTTTTAGTGCAAGCGACTGAACAACAGGTATCAGAGGCTCCAACATTTATTTTGCCCAACGGTCGAGCGGTCGATTTTATTTTGTTTTGCAGAGGCATTTTTTAGCTCAAGAAGCAACATTCAGGCTCATCCCAGGCATTCTCATGACCAGGATATTCAAGGGCAAGTTTCAGAAGCTTAACAGAGCTCCAAACAGTTTAAAAACGGGCAAATGGGCAGATTTCCCTCCAAAAGGCGCCAAAATTCAAATCTTGAAGGTGTTAATCGATTAACACATATGGTTAATTGATTAACCAAGTCAAAATCAGGTCAATTTGGAATTTTTAACAGTGTTAATCGATTAACGCATATGGTTAATCGATTAACCAGTGCAAATTTTGCCTCTGTACGTGAATTGTGAAGAAAAATCACTTTGGGGTCCAATTTTGATCACTTGGAAATTCAATTTTACACTTGAGAAGGATCTAGAACCTCTTCAAATTTTGGTTAATTTCGTTTTCCCTCCAAACTCCCATTCCTCATTCCATTTCAAATTTCCCAAACCACCTTCCAAACCTCTCATTTGGATCCAAACCTAAGGGGTATTTAATTGATTTTCTCCAAACCTCACACATCTAATTCTCATAATTTCATTCTCATTTCAGAATTCACTCAATTCTCTCAAGTTTCTCTCAACTTTTTCATCTTCCAAAACCTTCACCAAAGCTCTTCATCTATTGAATTCTTTGATTCTCCATTGGAATCAATGAACTCTTGAGCTAAAACCTCCATCCATTATTCTCATTGAATCAATTTCCTCATTCAATTTTCGTGCAAACTTGGATCTGAATTTTGAAGTGATTGTGGAAGAGCTTATTTGGAGTAATTTAGCTTTATTTTGGTGGATCATCACTTATACTACAAGGATTAGCTTGGATCTTGAAGTATTCTGGACTTCTAGCATTGGATCTGTTCAATTACAGTTGAATTAACATTAACCGAAGCAATTCTCCGCTTCATAGGTTGGAAATTCTTGATCCGATTCCGTTTTGAGCTTACTTGCATAATTAGCATGTTGATCTTCATTTTTTCTTTATTTGATTCATTTGTATCCATGTGATTTGCAATCTTGATGTATGGATGTGTTTACATGCTGTTTGAATCACTGGTTCCTGGTTTAAGTTCGTGCTTAATTGATTATGTGATCATCCGGATGATTGGATAAGTGCTTATGTGTTGAAAATGTTGTTCTGCTGTTATTTTTCTGCTTCAGGCACAATGTTAATCGGTTAACCTATATGGTTAATCGATTAACCAACTCAAATATTCAAATTTCCAAGCATTTTTCAATGGTTAATCGATTAACCCCTGGTGTTAATCGATTAACATTGTTCCAACAGGCCTGTTTTGTTGTTTTTCATGCTTGTTTCGATACCGTTTCACTTCGAATCTTCATGGATCAGTGTGATGCATTAGGAGTGAAATGTTTTAGATATATTCCATTGTTCTTGATTGTTTAATCATGACTTCATCGACGCGCATTGTTCGATTTCCACTTGGATGCACACTTTCGTAGTTTGTCGTTCAAGGTGATGTTCATCTTTTGTGCTTGCATGTTCATGTTTGCTTGCCTTCTTGCATTTGCATTTCCTCTTGTGTTTTGCATCTTTATTTCTTGCATTAATAAAGGTCGAGATGTTCTTGTGGTGGTGCTTACCCCACATTTTGTTCCTCCCTTTGCTTGTGTGTTGCATTCCATGTTTGCACTCTCATTTGTGTTTGATCTTTCTTCTTCCTTTGTCTTCCTTTGCCATGTTCCCTAGGATCTAACCTTCCTTGTTTAAGGTTGGTTATGATAGACATTAGGACTCAAGATATGCATGCTAACAATAGGGTAGATTCTCCCCCTTTCAATCCAAACTTTAGGTCCACTTTGCATGATAACGTTAGGACCAAGTTCCCCTTAGACCTTCTGTGCGTCTCTCTTCTTCCCATCTCAAAACATGCTAACTCATCTAATAAATACAATGAACATTGTGCGCTACAAGCCTTAAGCTACATGGGGAATGATGAGTGAAGGGTCTCCTCTCGCTTATCTAAAGTGTTTAGTGTACGTCCCGTTTAGGGGCGATACACGATGCATTCACCCCTATGTCATAGTCTTTAGTGCAACGTGAATCACAAACCGAATTAATTCACTTCACTAAAAAACACAAAACAACACATCAAACTTTTTTCCTTCGGGATTAATTTCAAACCTTTTTTTCCAGAAAAGAGTGTTGTTAAGCTTTGGTTCTACCGCAAACAGGCATCGTCCCTAATTGCTAGAACAGTACATGACAACATTACCTTTTTAACTACTATGCCCTTACGTGCCTTGTGCTCGAAGGTTGTGGAACGTCATAAATATTGTAGTTGGGACTCACACATCATCAAATATATAGGTCCATTATACTCCAATCATATGAAACGCGCAAAATGAGTTAGGTCATATATTTGATACATGAGCAGTGTGACCAAGTCACACGATCTTCTTAAAAAAATAACTCACATGCATGATCTCAGTTAATAAAATATGAAGAGTTAACCTTAAAACTCTACATATTTGTTAATTCAAAGAGAATTATATATACATAACTCGAGAGTTAAGTTAGATTAACAAATCATTAATACTTCTTGTAGATCATAGGCACAACAAGTATAATATATAAAATACAAAATTTATCCATATTTAATGAACTTAAATAACCAATCAAAAGTGTAGATTTTATTTCTTTAAAAGATAAAATGGAGACAATAATCCATAGTAATATTGCACCGTGTTAAATGATAGTATCAAATTATGCTTAAATATACACACTACATTCAATAGTATGTTGTTGGGTTTGGTTTAAATTTAATATTACAATTTTCACTAGCCTTTAACCATGAATAACAACAAATAAACAAATAATATTAATATCTCTATAATTGTTTTGTCTCAAATGTTGTATTTGTAAAAGATTTATCGTACGTATTAGTGGGCCTATTTTCTTACGTGGCAATGCTAAAATCAACAAAACAACATACCCACGGGTATATCTGCCCCATTGGAGTTATTATATAAACTATATATAACATGTACTATTCTACATACTTTTCTTTATCATTGTCATCACTATTTTTTTTCCATTCCATTTTATTTCTAGAAACCATCGTCAAATAAATCCTTCCAGAAAATAAATTTCAAATTAAAATATTTTCCTTATATATATATATATATATATATATATATATATATATATATATATATATATATATATATATATATATATATATATATATATATATATATATATATATATATATATATATATATATATATATATATATATATATATATATATATATATATATATATATATATATATATATATATATATATATATATATATATATATATATATATATATATATATATATATATATATATATATATATATATATATATATATCATATAAACTAATAATTCTCTTCATACTCCATTTCCTTCAACCATGGAAGAAGAAGAACATGTTCAAATAATGAAAAACTCAATTTATGATGACGTGGAATCTGAATCCCAATCCCAATCCGAAGAAGAAGAAGCACTTTCTCTATGTGATCTTCCGATTAACGAAGATTCAGAAAGCTTGGACGACAAGTCGTTTAAGAGAAATAGTAATATTCGACGACCAATGTCGTTACCGGAATCGACGATTTCTTCAGCGGTTTCAGTAGTAGTGGTAGCTCCGATATGTGTCCCGCAGACGACATCATTTTCTGCGGCAAGCTCGTGCCGTTTAAAGAGTTAGTTAACGAACAACAGAAAGAAAATCTCAACGTTGAAAAAATGAATAAACCGCAACTGCATCGCCGGAGATCGGGATCTGTTTCTGCCGTTATTCGATCCAGCAGTGTCAGCAATTTCGGCGGTGGTTCTAATTCTAACCGTTTCATGATGAGGAACAGTAGGTCACTTAATTATTATAAGTTGAGAGAGCATTCTTCGAGTTTTCCGATATCGAAAGCGCCGGAAGTTGTCCGTGATTCTTCTGTCAGAAGCGTTGCGTCATCGGAGGGAGTAGCGAAGAAAGCAATGAAGCCGCGATGGTATTCTCTCGTATTTGGGAAGATGAAGGTTCCACCGGAGATGGAACTCAACGATATTAAGAATCGGCAGGTTCGTCGGATTTCTTCGAAAAGCATGTTTCTATCTTCGGATTCCGGTGAAAATTTGAACGTGAATCGGAGCTCCGGTAAGGTGTCATGGAAAATACTGAAAGCGCTGAGTTGTAAGGATCACAACAGCGTTTCCGTAACGATGTCGTTCTCTTTGCCTCAAGCGTCGTCGTAACTCGGTGTTATGCAGTGTTACGTGAGGTACACGTTAACAGAGACAAGGTGAAGATATTATTGTAATGACGATATTATCCTTGTGATTATGTTGATTGACATTGACAATAATGAGAGCATGATATATAAACGGTGATATCTAGAAGTGAAAAAACAAAATCAATATTAAACTAGCTTTTATTAGATATGATATCTTAATTTTTAAAAATGAATAAATATTATTATATGTGATTTGTCTACACAATTATCAAGTGAACTGAACTATATTATGATTAGATATATTTTAGTGATATGCATGAGAGGGGTATTATGGTCTTTGAATGATTGTTGTGTTGCTTGGGTGAGAGAAAAACATAATATTGAATTCACTTAGAAGGGTAGTATTTATTCTGTGTCTTGTGTATAGCCAAGCAAGATAATGAGAGGATTTATTAATTTAATATTTATAAAATTCGAAATCACTTTTTGTACGTTAGGTGGTGGCTATTAATCATTAGTTATAAGTAGGGGTGGACATCGGTTCGGGCCGGTTCGGGTTCGGGCCCAAAACCCTAATCCGGCCCAATCCTCGGGTGATATATATTAACCCGATTCCAACCAATTCAACTATCGGTTTTTTCGGATTCAAGTTTGTTTGGGTTCGGTTAACTAGATCGGTTTTTTTTCAGTTTTAGCTAATTGTTAGGCCAATCCAATTTTAAACCCACTAAAAAATTATGATTTTTTTTTAACATTTTTCAATTCAATTAATTAGAAACTTCATCTGATATTTGTTTATAGTTTTTGTGCAGCTCAGTACAAAAGTTTGGAAATTTTTTTATAACAGTTTTAAACACCTTAGAAAATAATTTCACAAAATGTTGCATGTTCCTATTAACAAACAATCATCCAAAATTAAACTGATTACTTAAAAGAACAATTTATGAACAAAATGAGGCTAAAAATCACATATTTGAGTTTCTTGAATCCTGTAGAGACTGGAGTAGTCCATGCACCAAATTGTTTAACGAAATTGAAATTAGTACTTCTAAGAACCATATAAAATCTAAATTTGAATTATTCAACATAAATTCCAATGTAGTAACACAACCAAAGCACCATTGTGAAGTGCAAGGAATGAGTCACAAACAGCCTGAACAGCTGAAGGAGTAAGTGATGCACACTGGCTAATGTTCAAAGTCCTTAAACCATCCTCATCATTTTCACCACTCACAGTTTCTCACATCTTGTTATTCACTTTGCTTTGTGCCAATGAATGTCGATGCAACAGGTTGCTGCAAAGAGTTCCATTCACTCACCCATATCAAACCATCTATATCAGAGAAAAATAAAAATCTAATTAGAAAACATATAGCAGTTAAAATATATTACGAAAACTGGAATCTCGGCAGTTAACATTACTATCAGAGTATCGGTTCTGCTTATTGTGGCTATTGAAGAATTTGGAAGAAGGCCGCACATTACAGCCTCGGCAGATTTCCGGTATTTTTGAAGGTCATAACCATATGAACTTGAAACACCCTTTAAATTGAAGAAGCTTATTCTAGATAACAAAACCTGCATTAAGAAGAAGGTTTATTAAAGCAAATAGTCGCACGAAAGCAAAGTTGGTGAAAAGATTCGACATGAAAATCACAAACACAACACACATAAACCATTGTCAGAGAATTTTTTTCCCACAATAATTGATAATTAGAAACTCATGAAAGACATGTATTTGCAACTTTTACTGAGACAAGAATTCATACTGTTAGCATTCAGACTAACTATAAAGCTTGTTTTCTGTCATGGGTCTCATCGATTTAATATAACTTGTTTTCTGTTTGAGACCAAACATTCTTATGATGCAGTTGCGCCTAACTAATAGTTTATGCTATGAGGAGTCCTTAACACCTTTCAAAACCCTATCCAAGGGTAACATAAATACACGTTACTCAACCAAGGTGGCCAGAGGAAAAATCTAAATCCAGAGAGGGAGAATACAAGGATGTATAATTGAGTTTGTAGTATCTAACTTTGTATTTCATCAAACTTAATGAAATAAATATTAAAAACACAACAAATCCATTTCCACCAATAGTCCACCCTACAAAACCTAACTTTGTATTTCATCAAACTTTATCCTAATTTCTTTAGTATCCTAAATAATTTAGTAACGTTTATAGGTATTCTAGAACTACAAGCATAAGTTTTTTTAACCAGAAAATTTGGTAGATAATCACACCTAGTGGAAGAAACTTCAATGGATATTCATTTTCAAATTTTTTTGCATACCTTATCAGCTCCAGCTATTATACTTTTAACCAACGGTATAATCTTGCTACTTCTGGCTATATCATAGCCCAAAAAGTACTTTGCTTGCGATAAACCAATCACGATAGTTGAAGCACTTGTAAAGCCAGATATTACAGAATGGCTAATGAAACGGATCAGCCACCCAAGCCTGTAAATGCCAAAAACAGGTACTTATAGGTTATCCATAAAATCACTTTCATGAGAAAAGTCAGGCTTGATGTTGAGAAGTAAGTTGTGAAAACAATGTAACTGATAAAAAAGTTCAACCCCTCCTCTTGGCATTAAAATAAAGTAGTATGCTTTCAATTTAAGCCATTATAATTATAATGACTATACTGCAGCAATGTTTATTGGTAATGGCATATCAAAATAATCATTTGAGCATTTGTACATGTTTAGATGCATGATCACTGAGGAAAAAGTACAATTCAATTTTTAGTTATCGTAGAAGATGTCCTGGGAGATAAAGCCCAAAGAAGAAAACTTTGTTTCTGCAGCCCTATATAAAATTAATAATAAAAAAAATACCTCAATAGTCTCACTGTCAGACTGTGGTAAATTCAAGTTACTAGTATTAGAATAACTTGGCTGAGGTTTTACGCCGGTTGTAAGCAACGCAATATTTAAACCGAATACCAACCTGGGTGAACGGAGCAAATGTTCTGAGGTGATTGAAACCAAGGTCCAAATCCTTCTGGTACAAACCAGTCTGGCCCATAATTACACTTGAGTCTACATAGGCCTGCATATAAAATACTATCAGTTATTTACAGAGAAGCTATAAGAAACAAAAGGCCATTTAAGGTTTTACTTTACACATGTTCAGATGTCACTTTTTCATGTAATGAACAGTCTGTTCATTCAAGGTTTCCCATCAATAACTGAAAAAAGCTTTTTGAATATTAAAATGAATAACATTATTTCAAGGACAAGACTCTTATTTTAAATAAGCAAAATATACAACTCAACTCAACGATCACACCTCGAGGAAAAAATGTGACACTGAGCTAACTAAATGTGACAATTGGAACAAAACCTAGGCCACATTTATCGACATATAGAAACATAATTGAATGTTGAAGCAAATAATGAAAAGATAAACAAGGGCATAGATATGAATTACCGGGTATGATGGATCCTGCACAACCATTTTCACATTTGAACCAAAGACAATCTGCCATCAGATGAAGAAACAATTGCACTTCTTAGTGGCTGCATAGATTAGGAATGCCTCTTAATCATCCAAGCATCATTAACTTATGTAAAAAGATGGCAGCAAAAAGCTTAAAAAATACATGCTTAGACTATAAAAAAAATAACAATGACTATAAGATATTGATACGACGGTGGCGGCGCTGAAACATTGTTGACAATGGAACGGCGGTGAGTGGCGGGAAGAATTGATTGATGGGTATGTCGGTGGTTAGTGGTTGCGGTTGTTGTTAACGGAGACAATGAAGGAACTGAACTGTGGAAGGAAAAGACGCGAGATTGGGCCAATTGGGCTGGTGAAGCAACATTTATTAGCACTGATGTCAAGAAAATTGTTCGTGCTAATGATCGTATTCAAGTTACTAAGTATCCGCACCTTTATCTAAGGTATGTCATTTTTTGCTATGACTGTATTGTGTTTGTTTGAATGTCTTGGAAGTTATTTTTGGAATGAGAAATTTAAATTCACATATTTGATACAAGTTTTCAAAAATTATTAGTATTAATTGATTTCCAAGGATATAATTCATGGGAGTATATAGTGTTGTACACTGGATATAGGAATGGAGAAATGGAGTCAAATGTTTAGCTTATGAATGTTAGTTAATTTGAATTGAAGCTGACTTTTTTCAATTGTTCTTTATTCTTGAGAGGTTGGCAATGGCTCGAACCTTTTAAGTTGTTTTTACTGATGCGCTAATGAACAACTTGGCTCATCATGCAGGTTTACGGATGTCAAAATTGGCAAACCGTCATAAACAGTTGATGGTAGTGTTGAGGATATTAGCCCACAAACATGCAGGCTATCTGACCGAACGTAGGAATCATTTCCCTTAAAATTATGATCTAATGTTTTTAACTGGATATTGCCGAGCTATTGATAGAATTCTAATAATGCTCAAAAGTATTTTCTTAAGTTGCCAGTAAAGTTTTATCATGTTTCAATTTCTTCTAGTTTATTTATACTCTACTATTTGGTAGTAGTCAGACCAAATGTTATTCGTTTTTGTTGTGCTTGACCTGTTGTGAATTGAGCTTCATTTTGTCTAATAAAAAGGTACGCGGCTCCAATAATGGTTGACATTGAACACACTCAAGGAAGTCCGGATAACCTAAGAAAAGAGACAAAGGTGATTGACCACTATTTTTAGTTGACTTAAATATGTAAATAGTTCCCTGAAAATATCAAGAGTGTTTGGTTTTAGTCTCGTTAAATTTTGTTTGTTTTTAGTCATTGCAAATATACCATTTTTTTCTTTATTTTGTTCCTTGTTGTTTTGTTTTAGCCCCTACAAAATTTATTGATATTGAAATTGGTCCCTATGCTCTATCAAATTATTGATTTTAGTCATTCAAAAGAAGGACTAAAATGAATACTACAAGGACATATTTCAATATGATAAGATTTTGCAAGGCTCAAAACAATGTATGCAGGACTAAAAACAAAATATTGTAATTTGCAAGGACTTAAACTAGAAATATTTTTGCAGGGGC